GTGGAACTGCATCGTGACCACCCATGGCCCCCCTCCCATGGCAGGACACTCCTCCTGTGTCATTGAAGACAAGATGATCGTCTTTGGGGGTTCACTGGGATCAAGACAAATGTGAGTCTGGGGTGAAGGTGTCTGACAACAGCTCCTGCAAACGAGGAGCGTGTTGTGGTGACCGTTGGGTAGCTCATAGTGTTTCAGAAGGAAATCTCATCAGGCTTTAGGGTCTGCTGCTTTAAGCACACCCTTTGCCTCTTCACGGTGAATCCCCTTGAGGCCCCAGCCCACAAAATACCCAATTCTGCCATGAAACTGTGCCCTGAACCCATGCTTCATGTGCCCACAGAGCCTGGTTGTCTCATCAGCACTTGTTGTCTCATCCTTGCAGGAGCAACGACGTCTGGGTGCTGGATCTGGAGCAGTGGGCTTGGTCCAAGCCCAGCATCTCCGGACCCAGCCCTCACCCGCGGGGTGGCCAGTCTCAGGTATGCTCAGCACCAGCACACTGCCAAAGATAAACCTGGTGGAGCTTAATTCCCAGCTTCCAGGCAGTTTTCAGCAGCTTGCCTGAAAGCTAGTGCCTGATCTCCAAGTTATCTTCACCACCTCTGCTCAATGGGCTCTGCTTTTCCCCCCTCAAGCCATCTGTTTGGGGAGGGTGAGCTTTTCATCTCCATAACACTGATGCAGGTACCGTGCTGTATCTGGCACATGACTCAGACTCTAATGAGCCTTTCTAGAGCACACATTGCTGTTTGAACCCAGCCATCACACCCCTGTGGCAGTTAAGATCAATCAAGTGTGTTATCACACGTTGGTTTGGCTCAGGGCCCTTTCTGATTGCTCCACTCTCCTGGTTGTTGGTTCCAGTGACTCTGGGTTGTGCCCGCTCCGGTTTATTGCCTGCCTGGGGCAGGAGCTCCTGGGTGTTACCCAGCTTGATGCAGGTGTCTCCATCACAGCTGGCATCCCTGCTTCCTTTCATGGTCCCTTGGGAAGACAGTCAGTGGTTCCAATGTGTGGTTCCTCTCAGGGACCCAGAGGAGGTTGGATGGGTCGTGCTTGAACATGTCTTTCCTCCACTGGAAAAGGAGGTGAAGGGACTCTCACCTACCACCAGCACCTAACAAACCTTGCTACAAGCACATGCCCTCCCAGACAACCCTGACAACCCTTATTTGAAGAGGGGTGTTAAGGCCCCTGTGCTTTGGCTCAGCCTCAGGAAGGGTAATTGCTCTCCTCCCTAAGAGGAGCTGGTTTGTGAGCCGTTTGGGACAAGGCAGCGGGATGAACCCTGCGTCCTGCTTTGCCTCAGGCCCAGCAAAACCTGCTCTCCATCCCAGCTCCACTCCTCATCCCGGGGCAGGCACGATTCAGCAGCATCTGTGCAGCCAAGAAGCCAGAACCTGGCTCTGTCTGTGCTTGGAGGCCTCACCGAAAGCACCGGGGATGGTTTCACATCCTTCCCGGTCTGAAACTGTGTTCTTTGCCTCCTCTAGATCGTCATAGACAATGAAACCATTCTAATCCTCGGTGGCTGTGGTGGTCCCAATGCAGTAAGTATCCAGGGGGAGCATGGGCAGGAGCTGCAGTGAGCCCTGGGTGCTGCAGTGGGGACTGGGGGGGGACTCTGCACCTCACCCAGGTAGCGTTTCATTCTGCAGACCTAGAACTGGATGAGCTTTAAGGTCCCTTCCAACCCAAACCATCCTGTGACTCCATGAAACCCGGGCTCCCATGTGATGGATTTTCCAAGGAAGCTGTCTGCCTATTGCTAGAGCTGCTTTAATTAAGAAAGAAGCACCTCAGGCACTATCCCAGCAGCTCGCTGAGGTTAATTGAGCCTCAGAAGAATTAGAGAGAATTAGATTTTACACTAGGATGGAAGATGGAGATGTGGGATTTGTCCACAGCCACATAGGGTGTAGTCGCTCCTGGGTGGTCACATCCTGATCTGGGTCGCCAATCCCCTGTCTGCAGCAGCACAGCACCATTCCTGCCTCCCATGGGCTGGTCTCAGCAGCAAACCAGGCTCCTGAACCTGTCACACTTCTCTCCACAGCTGTTCAAAGACGCCTGGTTACTGCACATGCACAGCAACCCCTGGACGTGGCAGCCACTCAAGGTGGAGAACGAAGACCACGGAGCCCCGGAGCTGTGGTGCCATCCTGCCTGCAGGGTATGGACACACCGGGGTCTCATATCCATCCCTGGATCTTCATCAGAGCCTAGAATGCTCCATGTCAGGGACAGGACAAGGGGAATGGCTTTAACCTGCCAGAGGGGAGATTGAGATGAGCTCTGAGGCAGAAGCTCTTCCCTGAGAGGGTGCTGAGGCGCTGGCACAGGGTGCCCAGAGAAGCTGTGCAGTGTTCAAGGCCAGTGTGGACACAGGGGCTTGGAGCAACCTGCTCTAGTGGAAGGTGTCCCTGCCCGTGGCAGGACTTGGAGCTGGAGAAGCTTTAAGGTCCTTTCCAACCCAAACCATTCCATGAATCTATAACTTTCCCCCAGTACAGCACAAATCCTCCCGTTCTAACCTGTTCTCTCCGCTTCTCCTCTTCCAGGTTGGACAATGTGTGGTGGTCTTCAGCCAAGCTCCCAGCGGGAGAGCCCCACTGAGCCCCAGCCTGAACTCCCGCCCCTCTCCCATCAGCGCCACACCGCCCGCCCTGGTCCCCGAGACACGGGAATACCGCTCCCAGTCTCCCGTCAGGAACACGGACGAAGCTCCCTGTGTCAACGGCC